ACCTCTCACACGTTGTGATATCATATTGTTAGAATGATTTAATAAATTGAATTTATAATATTTTACTTGTCTATAAACCATTGTTATAATTATCAAATACACATTAATTTATAAGAAGATTTCTTAAGTCACTTTTTAGCTGACTGGTAATTTATTGAATACATGTCACCAACCTTTAGTTATTTATCTTATCTCTCCCAAGTAAAACGGTAACAATATTTAATCTATAATTAATTATATTTTATTTCTCATTTATATTGTAAAGTCAATAATAATATATAATTGAATTAATAAAAGAAATTACATCTTATTTATTTATTAAATCAATTTTTAAAAAAAATACAATTATCTTTAAATATTTCTGATCTCATTCTAACTGATCATAAAAATAAACATACATTATTTATCTTTGAATAATTTAATAAACTTTTTCATCTTGAAAATATTTTATATAAACTCTCATACTTAACTTAGTTTCACATGTTTTTTACGTATCTTCTGTAACAAAGTCAAAACCATACAAAAATAATAACAATATCAAAAAAATATTGGAAAAATAATTTTATCTTCTAATCCTAATTCAAATATCAATTTTTCGTGATCACGTGCATATGAAATTTTGAAGATTATATGATCATACACTGTTTTTAAATATTGTTTTCAAAAAATAAGAGAATGTCTGATCATGTATATTACGTGATATGTGACTATAATTAAAGATTGCTTTTAAGCTTAGAATTAGGATCAGAACTAAAGTTGAGATCAAGATTATACATAAAATTGTCTCTTCAACATTTTTTAGTATATCAAGATAGATTTAAGCATTTGTTTTTCATTATTTTTCATATTTTGTTCGTGCTTCAGATTTGTTTTGTCGAGCTGATCAAAAATTTACGCATTCTTAGGGATCTGACATATATGAGCTCATTATGAGTTACTATAAGACTGACCCCCCTCCCCTTGCTGAGATTTAATCACATGATATTGTATCACGTGGCCTAAATACACAGCATATTATATAAGAAAGACATAAATATTATAACGCAGTTAGAGAAATATACGATATCTTGACGTCTAGTGGTCAGAATCGCACCAAAATAATAACATTCCATTCGTCTAGTCATGACAAATCGAATGATATTATTTTGGTGAGATTCTGATTACTAGGTATCAAGATATTGCACCAAAAATTTACCATATTATGATAAATTTTTGGTGCAATATCTTGATACCTAGTAATCAGAATCTCACCAAAATAATACCATTCAATTTGTATAGTCATAGTGAATCGAATAATGTTATTTTGGTAAGATTCTAATCATATGTATCAAAATACCCTCTTTATATATAATATTTTATTGGTTAATTCTTAAATTCTATAATTATATTATGTGTTACGTGAGAGATATGATATCTATATATCTCTCTTCTACCCCCCTCCCTCCTCTTATAATGAGCTCATATATCTCAGGTCCCTTATTGGTTTGTGTTTCAGACTGATTATCAGCTTTAGCGTATACTAAGGTTGCTTGTCAAAATCTCTTAGTGACTGTCTAAATTCTGTCAAAATTATTAGTAAATAACCCGTCGAAATTCTGACGAATTTTGAAACCTATCGTAACCGAAATTATGTCGAAATTCTAATTAACAATTAGTGTGTAACCCGTCAAAATTATGACGATATTTTCTGAAAGGATTTAGGCAAGCATCCTTAGCATATACACAAATTATGTGTGTTGATAACTTTTAAAGATTGATTTTATTGTTTGATTTTATTTTTTGAATCAGGATAAGAGTTAGAGAAAAGAACAAAGTTATATGTAAAATTATCTCACGACATTTTTTGGTTTGTCATGTGCATGTGATCAAGAATCGAGTACAGATTATAGCGATGGTGTTAGAATTCAACCAATCATTGAATATGTTACATGTATTAAGTCAATCTGGATAATTACAAGATTATCCGAGTTGACTTGATTCTTAATTCACTACCTTTCACTGATAACGATAAATGCTGACTAATTTTTAATTAATTTAACTTTTTTAATTGAATTAATTTTTTTATATATGAATAGATCCTTGCTATTTTATAAATAAAGAGTTAAAATTTTGTTTATGTATATAAAAATTCTAATATAATATTACTAATTTATTATTTCAATATTGTGAGCCAAGAAATCAATAATTGGATTAATGATTTGATGATTCCAGGTATTTTAAGTTAGTTTATTATTATCACATTTACCTTAAATACACTTTTACTGAAAATTCTGTTAAAAAGGAAACAAATTAACTTGTATGCTCAATTCATTTATTGTGAGGGATGATGAAAAACGGATTATGGTGAAAATTTGCAATATCTACTATAAATAACAATTATACTCATAAATTTACATAGTATTTGGCAACATAAATATTATTGCAAAATTAATTTAAGTTATATCATTATTTTAAAAATATTGTTCTTTTATTATAAGAAATTATCGATAATTCTGGCCAAATGATCCCATGATCTGCACAATTTTGTCCAAAATTTTCTTCATAATTAATCACCCACATTTATTTTAATAATTATACAATATTCTTGAAAATCTAAAATTAAAGGCACTCTTGTCAAGTTGTTTTTTATTCCCGAAATCACCTTTAATAATAATAATAATAATAATAATAATAATAATAATAATAATAATAATAATAATAATAATAATAATAATAATAATAGATTGAATATCTGATTCGGCGATCTTCTATAATATTACAGCATTGAATTCCAATCACAAATAAACTAATTATGCTTACACGTCTTGTTCGCGACCATAGTCAAAAGCAACAGAATACTCGGCGTAACAATGGTTTGATATTATATTAAAATATATATTTTTTTTGTTACAAGAATAATCAAATTGATATTTTTTTCATCATATATCGAAACAAACTACATTAAGAACAATTACGCAAAGAAGTTGTACAGTCCGTATCTGAAGTATCAGATACGTTAAGTGAATCTTTGAATGAAAGGTAAATGGAAAAGATGAAAAAGAAATAAAGATTTTAATAAATATACGCCAATCATGTTGAATCATATTCAAAAAAAAACGATACGCTATTTACCCATCAAAAATCAAAAAAAGAGTCGCATCAATATTCAAAACACAACGAGAGATAGAATCAGAAATACGTAAACTATCCGGACAGACGAGCAAACACACAAAACAGGCGAAACAATGGATGACGTTGATGGATGGGCTGAGTGCTGCATTGAAGGTAGGTGTCTCGATTTTTGATATCTATTACGTTCCATAATAAATTCATATAATGATATTTTAATTAAAGGAAATAGGCGATGTACAAAATTGGGGAGAGGTAATCGAAAAAGATATGCGTGATATTGCAATGACTTTAGAATATGTGCATAGAGGTACGATAATCAAAAGAAAGAAATTGCAATTAAATTTTTCCGAAATTTTTGAAATTTTTTTCACAATTACAGGCACGATGGATGGAGATCCAGTTGATGTTATTGATACTACTACATCCACATCAACGTCTCCTCCCCCATCACATAGCGCACCACCTGGGTCTTTAAATGCAACTAGTATTGCTACTTCTACTATTGATCAAACATTATCGAAAAATTATGAATCCACTTCATAGATGATGATTGTGTTTACTAGGTGTGCGAGTGAGTCGATGTGGTGCGTAATATCCATGTATATATAATATACCTTTACGTATTTACTATGTAAATAACAACAAAACTATATATATAATCTTTTTTCCTAATTTTACTTTAAGATTTTGTTCTGATTAGTAGTACTATGGGGATATTTTTATTATATTTAAAAAGTTGATAACAATAAAAGCAAGAGCCATCACCAACAAAGGTTTCGACGGATGTTCTATTTCAAGTTCCATTTAGATCGATGGGTGATAAGGAGAATTCAATTCGAGAAAAACATTAAATATGATATTAAATGCAGAGTTAAAAAAATAAAATATTCGATTATATATTATCACGATTAATAATTATAAAAATTATGTGTAAGATGGCGAAGAAAAATAAAGTATATTAATGAAATTTCCTTACTCGCCCACCGATTAACTAATAAACAAATTCACGACTAGTGAAAACCCAAAATTGATAAACTTATAAATTAATGCTTATAAACGATTACTTGAATACGCTCTTTAACTGTTTCCAAAGACTTTTCCTTTTATCTTTCTTTTGAGTTTTTCCCGAAGGATCTTTAGTTTCTTTATCGATTCCACGTGAACCACTGGCATTATCGGTTTCTGTAGTTGGTGTTTCTGCTACGGTGGTGTTTGCTTCAGTGGTGGTGGCAACAGGAACAACATTTTCAGTCGCGGTTTCCGGTGTATCTGGAAGAGCTTTTTCTTCCTTGGCAGTAGTAGTAGCAGTAGCAACTGGTTTCTGTTCAACTGGCGGTGGAGATGCAGATTCGGATTGAGCAGCAGGTTCTTTAACATCACTCTCAGCCACTGGTGTAGATGTTTCAACAACTGCTGCTGGAGGAGCGGTCGAAGTTTGATTACTTTCACTTGTTGAGGCAGGTTCCTTTTTTTCTTCCTCTCCTTCTTTTTTATCTTTGTTGTCAGGCAAAGAAGAAATAACAGCTGCATTTTCCACCACAGGGACCACCTCTTCCTTAGTTTCTTCTTTTGGAGCCGTTTCTCCTTTTTGACCCGTTTCTTCTTTTGGAACCGTTTCTTCTTTGACAGTAGTTACTGATGTCGTCGGCTCTGGCTCATGTGTTGTTGTGGTCGCTGCTTCCTCCTTTACAGTTTCGTGAGAAGAGCCTGCTGTCCCCGGCTCTTTGACAACAGCTTCAGGAGAAGCAGAAGTAGCTGCTGGATGCGTAAACTTGTCGTAAAAGGAGCCAGTAGAAGTGGTAGTATTTGCAGTATTTGCGGTATTGGTTGTTGCATCTGTATAAGAATGGTCTTGTGGATTTTCAACCGGAGTAGTAATTGCTTCGTAGCCTGCTACGGCAGCCCCCGCGTTATAATCTGCCATGATAAAAAAAAACAACGAAATGTGAAACGTATATTATGTATGGATATAAAGCGAGATGAATGTGGAAAAACGACAACGTGTGTGTGTGTGTGTGTGTGTGTTGGTATGAATTCGAATGTTCTTGTGTCCAAGGGAATATTTATTTACACTAGACTGAATTGAGAAATGAGAAGAATCCGTATTACCATTAACTCGGAAACGCCAATAATTACACATATGCGAGTGTAATACAAAAAATAACAAAATCACTTTTGATACATTTTTTCTTTAATTTTGTTCCATTTGAAACTCCAAATTTATTATAACATGGACTTTACAATGCACCTTCCCAATCAAGTCGACAATTCTATCACGCTTTATGATGGGTTTTCTCATAATAATGCTACAACAACACCGACGACGAACACGAATATTATCACAACAACACACAACACCACACTCCCATTACCTCACGCTGGTCGCAAGCGCAACCGAAGCAATAGCTTAAGCATAACTAACGATAATAATCCTCAGGTAGACGTTGCCCATTTGTGATTTCTATGTCTATAGAAATCAATAACCGAGATGTATTGTTGGGCGGAGAATAATATATCTGAAAGTAACCACGCGACGAAAGATCGATTTGGATTACGCGTTCAAACTTTATATTTATTCAATTTTGCTCTTTTCAATTTTCTTGTGTCTTGATAGAAAACTTTACGACTATTAAGTCCTCCACGATACACCAGACCATATCAAAACTATAGTTATCCCACTACTGCTACTGCTAATACCAGTATGCACTCGACTCCTCCTGCTTTCGGTATCAATGATAATTGCGTTGCGCGACAAAGTATACTTAATAATGACTTGAAATTATCAAGGACATCATGTTTTCAAATGCTGCTGGACTTTCGAGAGTCCGAAATGGATTGTGATGTTGATGAACTGCCGTGTCATTTAGAAGAATATGATTTAGAAATGGTATTATACGTGTGTCTGTCCGATTCTTGAATTTCCGGAATATTAACTTTCCATATATTCTCATTTCTTCTTCTTCGATCCAGTACCAGCAACAGCAACAAATGCGAAAGGAACGTACAGAACGCACCACACATTTACCTTATACGATGGGTTATCGCGCCGATTGTGAAAAGTGTCGTCATCATGTTCCCGGTCATTATGCTCACCTAATAGGGAAACAACAATAATAATTAATTCTATAAAGTCATAAGTAATAAAATAGTGTGTCGTATATTCTATTGCTACTGATGTTGTCGTAGCTGTTCTCTCTTTTCTGAATCCCCTAATTGACATTAATTTGCTTTAAACAGTAAGTGAAATCATTCTTTCATTTGTATTTTAAGTCGCTTAATTACACAATGTAAATAATGCCTTTTCCATTATTTAAAGGATTGCAAAACAACATAGTGGTGATGATTTTAATGTAATCAAATCATCTTTATACACACATCGATATGAAGCAAGAATCAAGAACTTTGAAGTATCACAGCCTAATCAAATCGATGAACGCGCGTAAAATTTAATAAGACTTTAGGAAATATTTTTGCTAATCATCGTTATGTAATACCTCTCTACAACCAGATAAATGGGATAAAAGTGGCGTATGACCAATTAATTATGACAAAGTAAAATGAAATCAGGTTAAGAATTGTCCTTTTTTTTCGGTTTTCAAATTAAAATTCGACATCTGATCACAATGCATAATCTCGAGAAAAAATGAGCCGAATCTAGCCTATAACCGGGTGGTTGTACAAACGAAAAAAATCACGTTAAACTTTGATCTTTTTTGTATTACGTAGAAAAATTATTTTCGCTTCTCTTGCCAAAATACAGTAAATCGAAATCGATATCGATATCGATAATGCTTAAAACAATGTGGGTATTTTGTTTATGACGAATTCTCAAGAATTGCTTTTTAATTTTATTGTCGAACTATATAAATTGTAATAGAAAACCAAAGACAGCACGTTCAGCACGTGCATTAAAAAAACGTGAACCAAAAATTCAAGAAAATCAAAAAACTGCAATTTTCCTACGTGGTCACAAAACAAACAACATAATAAATACTGCACTTTCAGATCTGGTACAACGGACATCCATTTCATCCATTTAATAAAATTAAATTCATCCTTACTAGAATTCTATTCATAAAATCCAGTGTGCATTAAAAAAACCAGATGCAATAACCTTTTCAAAAAAGAATGAAATCTTGCCATTTGAAGATGACACCTCGCTCGAATTCTTCTCACAGAAAAATGACGCATCGCTCTTTGTTATCGGTAATCACACGAAAAAACGACCACAGAACTTGATTTTTGTCAGAATGTTTGACGGACAAGTGTTGGATATGATTGAAGTCGGCGTTGTGAATGCTAAATCAATTGCTGATTTTAAGGTAGATAATTATTGAATGCTATACATTGTAACTGCAATATATAAACATTCACTAAAATTAATTATGACTAGACACCAAAATGTGCTGTTGGAATGAAACCATGCTTTATATTTAATGGCGATCTGTTTGAAACTTCAGAAATACACAAAAAATTTAAAAACATGCTGTTAGATTTGTTTCGGGGTCAAACTGTCAAATCCATAAATCTTTCCGGTATTGAACATGTGATTTCAGTCACGGCAGGTTCACAGAAAGACGGCGGGGATCCAAGTACCGGTATCGTCTATTTCCGAGCATATAGCATACAAATGAAAAAATCTGGGCAACGGATTCCACGTGTGGAACTTGAAGAAATGGGACCAAGTTTTGATTTTCGGTTTAGACGTACAAAATTTGCTAAAGAGGATGTATATAGGGCTGCTACACGGGTTCCAAAAGAATTAAAGGTATTAATAATTTTTGTCGATGTTGTCATATAATGTAAATAAATTATTAAAATTTGTATTCAACGCAGCCAAAGAAGATTAAGAATATTGATGTGAACGAAATTGGTGATCGAGTGGGAAGAATTCATCTCGGCAAGCAAGATCTGAGTCAATTGCAAACACGAAAAATGAAAGGACTAAAAAAGAGAACTATTAATGAGATTGATGCTATGGATATTGATGAGATTGACAAAGAGGACGAAGGAGAGGAGATATTTCCAAATAAAAAGCAAAAAGTATAATAAATATTTGAATAACGAAAAAATGGTAATGTACAATTTTCTCTAAAGAGCTATTAAGATAAAATGTTCTTTGAATTATTCTGTGCATATTTACTCGGTACATGAAGTCAGGTTTTTTCATTTGTTATAAAGCAATAATTAATGAATTAAGATAATGCATCGTGTTATATAGCTATTAACAAACAGATAGAAAAATAACAATGAAATTAATGATAATGTGCTATTTTACTACAACAAAAAGTTAAGATTAAATTAAATTAAATTAAAAGTGATTTGTTCACTTACAATTTGGTTAAAATACATTTTGTATTTATATATTTTAGAATTGCTTTTCTGCTTGCTCACTTGCATACAAATTTTTAAAATTCTTAATTTAAATTTTAAAGTATGTATATATGTAAAAATTTTGAGCTTTGGAAACCAGTGATTCAATTTAAACAAATTATTAGTATTTAATTCACTTTGATATGACGAATCGAATAGTGATAATTTCCCAACACTGAAAATATCACGTAAAAATGTTAAATTTTATTTTTTTATATTTTCTGGCATAAAAAAATCGATAGATCAATTAGAAATTCAAAAGAAAATTTGATATGAAATCGAATTTTATAGTAATAAACTTCAAAATGTTATTTCTTATCCAAAATAATTTTATGGATTTCTGGCTTGAATTTCTGTAAATTAATAAATAAATACACTCAAAACCAGTTCTAAAATGCCAATTTTAATCTTATAAGATTTTGGCTTTTTGATCATTAACTTGGATAAGTTTTTATCTTGTTATTTGGTTTTTGTTGTGATCAAAGTGTTTGTATGGTGCATAAAATCTAGTCATCAAACGTTTGTATTTTATAAAATGTATCAACTTCTTTATTAAGAAGTAAGGACCTATTCTATCATATTCACGGATTAAATTTTGTATTTACTTCTTAATAAAGAAGTTTATACAATTTATAAAATACAAACGTTTGATGACTTTACCATATCAATATTCATATGTCATCATACTTCTGAATAATCCAATATGGTTTAACATATAAATATTCTTGGCATAAAATTAATCTAATAGGATAATCCTAGATTTATTATTCCGGTTTAGCCTAATAGTGCTTATCCGAATCGTTATTGGTTATGATTTTTCTATTGTATTCTAGAATAATCCGGTTCGAAGCTCTAGGTGTGATATAAATGTTTACCAATTGATTACTTTTAAAAAAGGAATATTGATATAATTATCTCGACATATAGCGATAGAGATGTTATCTTTTAGGCCTGAACAGAAGTTACTTTCAATATCATCTTTATTAAAATGCTGATCAATAGTTGTTGTTCCATTAATTTTTTTAATTGTAACAACTTCAATATTAACCAATCACATATCCAGAATCTTAACCCTAACCCTAACTCAGGTCCTAATTAGCCAATTAAAATGCAGTTGTTACAAATACATTCCACCATCTAAAAACATGTTGAATCAAGCACGAAATTGATTGGCTCATCAAAAATTAAAATTAAATTACCCTAACGCTAAGTTAGATTAATATGGCTTCATATATATCTCAACCTTTCAAAGCAACGGTATTTATCTTTTCTTTGGTATCTTTGCAATTTTGGAAATTAAAATGATTTTTCATCCAATTTTTATGTATGAAAAAGTATCGGTTTGCTTATGACCGACCTGCATATTTCTGGAGTTTGGTAATTGGTTTCGCTGGCCCTGTATATGTCCTTGTCATGCCGCCAATACTAAAGAAATTCGGTCATGTAAAGCCAGAAGCTATACCTTACACTTATCCAAGTAAGAGTCAATATATGGCTGTTATTTTTGTGAATTTCAGAGTTGATCACATGCAACTCGTTTCTCAGTATAATTTGGGATCAAGATATTTTATTTACGTCGTAATTTTAGTGCCGAATCGTCCGCGTCGACCAACTGTGGGTTATGAGGATCCATGAGAATTTTTTATGCATCCGATAAAAAATGTCATATCAAGTAATTTTTAGTCAAAATATTCGAACTTGATCTAGAAATTATGAACTATCAAAATATTGAAAGATGAAACGTTTAAGCAAATAGAATTTTAAAGACTTCCTAGACTTAAACATCTCTTATGCGAGTAACGAATTTCCGAATAATTGCAAAGAATAATTTTAATGAGTATTTTGATCCTAAATAATGGGCCATTTATAAGAGATTAACTGCATCTCTGTACTTAGTGTAGATGGATGAGTAAAATTTATGAAAGTGTTGTATTATTAAATCAATAATATATTTTTTGATGTTAATTATTTTTATCCCCAAATTTTTCAAGCATTTCTTTAGCCGGCTCGATGATACCTGAACCAGTCTCTGAATCAGATTTCAGTACTTCCAGCTTTTTAATTTTATGATCATTGTGATGATGCTTTGTCAACGAAGTAAGCATAAATTTGTAATTTGGTCTTGGTCTATTATTTTATGGACGCAAGATCCCATATTATATATTATGTAAAAATATAATTATTGTAAGTGGCAAAAATCAAATATTTGAATCAAAAAGCTCGTATTTTATTGAAATTACCTGATAAAAAGTAATTCTTCCGATATTGTTTTAGAGTTGGTTGTTTTTTCAGTTAATGTGTTGCTCAGTTGTTCTTGTCGATGTAACACAAAAGAATCAAGTACCCTCGCTATTCGAGGGTAGTGGTGATGAGTTTTGGTAATCAACGAGATTTGCAATAGCTTTTTTATTTCATTATAAATAAAAAATTAAAAACTTTAAAAAATATAAATTTCCCAAAAAATAATACAAAACACACACACACCTTTTGAACGATATTCAACAAAACACGGCACAACTCTTCATACTCGGATTCATCATCTTTTACATAACTCACAACAGCACAAGATCTTTGTTCCATACTCGTGACTATTTGATCAAGTAGCGAGATTATCATGTCTATTACATTTTCGGTGAAAATTTCTTTTATCCATGAAGGATTTTGTAGTGTAAACTAAAGTAGCAAAATAAGTCATAAAATAAATAAATTTTTTACTTTCATTTAATAAGCAAGAAAATGCTCACAAATTCAAGTAATCTAAATGTTCCCAGTAAAAGATGCATTCTACACAATCTACTACTACCAGTATTACTACTATTGGGTAGTTCTGTTGTGGTAGTAGTCTCGGTCATGATGTGATACGTAATGAACCGAAGAACATTGCGTAACATGTAAAAGTTCCATCGATTTTCAATTAGATAGAAACCTATAACCCAAAAAGTTAATAAGATTTTTTTAGTTTAAAAAGAAAAGATTTAATAATTACCTAATTGAGGTGGACTCTTTGCCATCATTGTCCGGAAACTATCAGATATCGGCAGCAGTAAAAACCACATAAACTGGTTATCAACCTAAAGAATATTTCAATTATTATACTTCATTATTGATGTGTCCTCAAAACATTAAAGAATTTATCCAACCTCGGAGACAACAAAATCTCGCAGTATGTTCCAAATACTAATATAAATCCATTTTGTGTTTTTCCGAAAATCCTCTAGTGTGAGATCAAAGCCTCTTTTGACGATCGTGCATAAATGGCCTTTTAATTTAATTAACAAGCATTAAAACAAATTAAAAATATAAATTCAAAGAAAAAAATGCCAAGAATACGAACCAACCATCAATGCTGATTCGATTTTTGCCATATGCAAGAACAAGAGGATTTCATTCATTGATGGGAATAATGTTGCTTCCTAGGATTAATTGAATCAATTAATCAATACGGAAAATTCCTATGTGATAATTGTTATTATTAAAATAAAAATAAGGATACCCGTCTTCCATCCGTTTGAACAGGGATAGATTTATTCAATAGTCCCAGAACTACAGACACGATTTCGAACTCGATTAATCTATATTTACAATCATCAGCAGTTGAAATACTTTTGCGAGAAATCCGATCACGGAGAGCAGGTAAGATCAATGGATGCTGTTGGATTTCTATTAATGCTATAGACAACAAAAAAAAATAAGCATCAGATTCCTAACTTTGGAGTTTATCCTAATCACCAACCTACCTTTTTTAGTAGATATATCTGCGAGAATCGACAGGAAGTTAACAACAAACAAGAATTTTTCGGCTATAAAGAATATTTCATTCTCTGGCTCTTTTTCATTATTGTCTTTTTTAGATCCTGCGATCTCTTCATATTCATTTATTGACTGTAAGAGTCTGGCCGAGGAGGGATATAACGTGGTGATGTAATCATTAATAGAAATTATACCACGATAATAGTAGTAATTGAGATTCACGTGAATTGTTTATATTTTGCTTTTTGTCTCGAGAGATACCTTAAGGTGTAATCGAAAACTATATAACTACAAAAATTAGATATAAATCACCCAATAAAAAATAATGCAATAAAAGAATTTTACCTTCAGACAATGAACCCAAATTATCAGCGACATAACGATTAAATCGTTTTCCTAGTACCATTAGAATGTGATTTATGGGTTGCCACCCTGAATAATATTTTTTATAAATAATTTGTTTAATTGTTATTTTGTTTGTGATAAAAGAACACATACACATAGAAATAACTTACAATCCAATGGTAATCTTTCCAACAACAGTATACCAGATTCATTACCACCGAAAGTAGCATATTTTAATAACGACGTCCAAAATACTAGTAAGTTTTTTATAACTGGATTACTGATTTCGCCATCGTTATTATCATAATTTTTGTTGTCGTTTTTGATGTTTTTGGAAGAAGACGATGAGAATGATGGTGATAAGAGAGTGATAGTCAATAAGACAACTATTCTGAATTGAAAAGATTGTTGTTGTTCTTGTTGATCATCAGTCTTGTCGTTAAGAATAGAGTTTGTGAATAAAGACTATTTTAATGTTAAACATTTAATATTAATTCGTAATTATACCAAGAAATAAATGTAAGCACATTAATTAATGAATCAAGTGTACCAAAAGTATTTCCACCGCAAACTCATTTCCAAATAACATTTCGCCAGTCTGTAGAATTTGTTTTTCATCAACTATAGATAGTGATGACGACGTCGTCTCGAATTGTTTCGAAAGTATTATTGTTATTTCGGGGAGTAAAGATTTTTGATGTTGATTAAAGTTATAGTGTAACCATTTTATCATCTTTAAAATAATAAAGGATGTTATTATTATTTTTATGTGAAGAAACATATCGTCAAAAAATTTAAAAAAAATAAAATTAATAATTTTTACCAGATCACCAATGAATTCTTTCATACTCCAACTACGCTTACACACTCTCCAAATCCACTCGAGAAATACATAATCAAATGTGAAAAAAAGTTTTTCCACGTGTGATTTATTGTTGTCATTGTTATTGTTATTGTCTTTTTCTTCTTGTAGTGTTGATTTGATCAATGCTAATATTTTCGAATATGTGTGTGGTTTAAAGTCTAGATGAAAAAATGAAAAAATTATTTTCATGTATCGACTATATATTGATACATGTAGAAGTTTACCTAGACTGTGATTGTTTGTTTCTTCATATTTCTAATTAAGAATCAAAAATCGTAATAAATTAGCGGTTCACTTCATTACAAAACACGCGTGCATATATATTTAGTATCGTATAACTCACAATAAACAAATAAAGAAAATGAATCATCGATACATCGTGCAAGAAATCCAACGACGCGTATTTGGTGAGAAATCGGGACAATGCTTTGTATCCTTTTTTTGATGTCGTTGCTGGTGGAGTAATATTGTCATCTTGTTCAGTATCACTGGAATCCATAATTATAGTTAATATCAAGCAATTGCATGAAAAAATTAGATTAATCAATTTTGTTGATTGTTATTATGATATATTTAGCACCTTCTCTTATCTCTGTTAGATTCCACAACGAATAATAAAGCAAGCGCAGCTCTGTCTAATGTTTGGCTCACGTAAAGCGCGTTGATTGTTGTTGAAGAAGACGACGAAGATGATCCAATGATGTCGTTGGCTATTAAGTCAAATGCACCGGTGAGATTTTCTAAAAATAAAATAAAAACTAATCAATAACGATATTGTTATGATATCATCCTAATAGAACATACTCACCCGGTAAGTTACCAAACGCGAAATTCTCTGGTACAATACTCCCTTGTCTAATATTACCACCTGTTTCTCCGACATTAGGCAAGAATCCACTTAATCTACCAATAACGGCAACAAGGAATCGATCGAATCCATTGGTGGTGTTTGGTTGGATTTGTCGAAAGTTGTAGTTCTGTTGTAGTGCTATTTCCAAGAGGCCGGTTGATACTTTTTTGGACAAAATAATGTATTATTCTTCTTCTTCTTTGACAATTAGTTATAATTAATAAGTCACTCTTTTTCTAATTACCAAACTTTGAAGCCAACAAATTTTTCCAGTCCTTTTTTATTTGGTGTTTCGCGACAATCTGGTAGCTCGTATTCGGTAAATCAAATAAATCTGCGAGAATTCGGAATAATTCTTGTATTGTTGTTATTGAGTCATGAGTCTTGAGATCAAGATGAGACTTTTAAAAAATATATGTCAATTGAAAATCAAAATTGTAAAGAATGCTGAATAAGAGATAACAACCATAACTGTCGGAATCAGAAACTCATCAAACACCCTAACGATTCCATGAACTGTTTTATGTAACAGTTCCGCTAGATTTACATAGTCTTTAATTATCGACATTTTTTTGTTACTGATTTTAGGTTCTCGTTCTTCTTTATCATTGTTTATTTGTTCGTGCATTCTCGTGTTCATTTTTGCAATGTATGTACCAACTAGGTAAACAACCATTGAATATACTTGGAGCACTTAAAAAAAAACTCAAGGATCAATAATTTTTCATTGCGAATTAATTGATATTAAAAATAAACTTACTATTGCTCAATCTACCATATTCACAATTTGGAATATAATCATTGTCATTATCATTCCCAGAAAAAAATGATCCATAAAAATAATCTTTCGATGACGACAATAATGAAAGCACATTATCAATCAAGACCTCGAGAATGATATTGAATAATTCTTCAGATAAATTGATGGATGATGATGATAATAATAATGAGTTTGTAGATGAGGTGGTGGTGGTGGTGGTCGCTGTTGCTATTTCGAACGTTATGTCACACAATGATTCCACGAGTACCATAAAGAATTTAAGCAAACACGGATAAACATTGCATATTGCGTCAAATTCTTGATGATTATTATCGTCTATGCGTGGATGTGACCTGATGTTAACTTGATTTATTATACCACAATTATTCGCATTAGTGAATAATTCGATGATCGGTTAGATTGTCAATTGATCGAGCAATTGACTGGCATGCAAGATAAAAACCTTCTCCAAGAAAATGACAAAACGCGTGGAAAAAATCCACTAATACTTTAATTTTGTCGTCATTTTCGTCATCTTGATCGTCAGCACCATTATCATCATTACGACGATGACGATCCATGAGAATTTCATAAAACAAGATGCGACGCCATTCTTGTTCTCGAACGTGTTTATCGTGTTTCAGATCGAGTGACAATGACGACAAGGGAAAAGAAGAGTAGTAGATGAAGTCGTGGTAGTAATTGTCCCGAGAGAGTATCTGGATCTGGATTTGATTGCAAACACGAAGTGTAGATACAGATTTAATAATGATGTGAACGATAGTTGCATGCATGTATGCATGCATGCATGTATTTTGGTATATAAAGGGAAACAATTAATAGTTTAATTTATAGACACATAAAAAATACCTTATTCAACGTTTCTAGTAAGCGATCGACACAGCTCGCGTTGATCTCAAACTGATATGAAGAACAAGACAACGGTGGAGAAGACAATAATAATATTGGCGAATTATCATCATTATTATTATTATGACGACGACGACGATGATGATGATGATGATGATTATTATAATAAGAATAATAATGATAGAATTCTTGATTGAATATATTTATAAAGCTCCAAATTTCTTTAATAATAACTATATTGTTATCATTATTGTTGCTTTCATTTTTATTATAATTGATATGGTTAAGAGGATTAATATTTTGTGTCATGTGTGGAATTTTAAGTAATTAATAAAAAAAGTAACTCGTGTTTTTCACGAGGTATTGCGTCAACTCGAGCGCTTCAAATAGCAATGATAACAAGAAGTTAAAGTGATAAAAAAGAAGTTGTAAAAACAAGTATCGAGCAAATGCAGTCAGTCAGCAAGTAAGCAAGCAGTGAGAATATGTGTGTACGTTGTAGTAGCTGCGGTTACTCTTCCGAATTTTTTCTTGTTATGCACAATCGCTCAATAATGGGTCGAGTTGGACTCTTCCAGACAAGTATGGAAAAAGAATTGTAAGTGTGGAAATAACTATGAAACAAAGGGTAGCGTGGAATTTCTTGATTAATTGAAAAAAAAACGATCAAACATTAAGGTTTAATAAAGTCAATAGACATGTGTGTGTGTGTGTGTGTGTGAACGAAGACATCTTTTGTTTTATCATTACCTAATAATAAAATGAAGCACGCATATACAAGCAAGCAGACATACAAGAGAAAATCTCTTTTTACATTTAAAGAAATATTTATCATTTTCATTCGGCAAAGAAAAATCCATCAATCAATCATTGTATGATTTTAGAATAACGCTTAATTTGGAGGCATTGTTTGAGTTGAAATGATACGACAATGATATGGCGAAACTAATGATGATATCATCAACGTACACTATAATATATTGGGGAATAAACAGTTGATTCAACATACACCAATATATAAATATATCCGACTTATCTAGCGCAAAAAACCGCCTCCTCCCGATAAGGAACAAGACTTGCCGCCCTGTCATCCTGTATATGTGCCCATCCAACATCCATTTTTCTCTGCTTCTATGTGGAAACAATCAGCGTCACCCCGTTAATTGTCACTTATTTGATAATATAATTGTTTGGTTGTACTTTATATTGATTGTGTATATATATATATATATTGATGGTGATGCAAATGCGAGTCGACATTTTTTTTTTATTAATTCATACATCGTAGATTTACTATTTGTACATTCACTATTTGTACATATTGTTACTAATATTTTTCGACCTGTTAACTTTTTTTCTTACTAAAACCTCACCCACCCTCATTCCTCTACTTATTCTTCTGCCGTTATCTGTCTTTTCTGAGCACTTGCTTGCTTCCACTCCCAAAACCTTAATAAACCCACCCAAAGTCTTTTTGATTTGTTTATTGATAATAATAATTTTTTTTTTATTTCTCAATTCAAATCTTGACAAAATGATGACCATTCCAGTTGACTGTTCTTCGCCGTCCGCTTCACACTCGAAAAAAAGCCAAGCAGCGGCGATAATGATGTCGTCGTCGACCACAATAACAAAATCCAAAAATAGCAAGACATCGACAACGACAGCAAATGGAAAGAAACAGACGCTATCAGAAAGAGATTTAAATATCAGATTGACAAAGATTTTTACAAAAATTGGGTGTTTGGAAATTGCTTCAGAGGTAATTAATCTCTCGCTACTCTCTCTCAAATCATCAATTGATAATTGTGACTTAATAAATTAACCAACGAATCATTCATTCAACAGGGTATCAGAGAATTATACGATCTGCTACTCGAATACCCAGAATATGAAGCAAAAATAAATTCGTTTCTATCAAGTGCTGGCACTTTTTTCTACAACTATATTCGTAATGCACTGGCAGACATTACGACGAGTGAAATGCGAAAATGTGGACTAATACCGAAAGAAGAGTCAGCACCACCGTCACCAAAGCCAGCACCACAACAGGATCAAGAACAACCACAAAGTGATCATCATAAGAAAGTTGTGGTTGATTCCAAACATGAATTGGTAGAACCATTAGATCTCACAAAGATGGAAAATAAGAAGACGAATAATAATAATCATAATAATAATAATAATGTTGATTCACCTCCATTATCACCGATGACAAGTATGTGTGATGTTGCTTTAGTAGTAGTTCCTTTTTTTGTAAAGATTATTTTATTAAGATTTTTTTGACGTTATACAGAAGCGTTCACGCAAAAATATTCTCGAGAGACATTTGAGCAAACACGGTCACGCCTACACGCAATATTTCAATATGAAAAATACAAGGTAATTTTATATGTTAAATCAATCAGCAAGACAAGTAATAAATAATCGAGCATAAAACTCAAATGAATACTGCTATTTACGAATTTAGGCTGGCCAACGACGCTCTAGCCTTCCCAGCCGTGACAGACTAACCAACGACGCTGAGCGTCTGGAGTTCGTTAAAAGTATCATATTGTCATCTATGCGACGACCTTCTTCGTGGTCACATAGTACACCCAGCCTATTACCGACGACATCGTCGTCAAAATTTGATTCACTACCAACACGGAAATTTGATCCGATTTCTTTATAAAAAAAAACTTTTAACAATTTATTATTAATAATCACCATCATACCCATTTTTACTGATTCATTCTTTTACTTTCAAAACATCCTTATCTATCTATCTATCTATCTATCTATCTATTTTTTACTTGGTACAAAAATCTTTTTTTTATTTCTTAGATTTTTTTATTTATTTATCGTTTTTTTTATTAGATGGGAGTGAGAGGGAGGATAAATTTTATGAAAACAGATACAGACATTTTTGATTATTTTTCTGTTTCTTTTATTTCTTTTATTTCATCTGTACAGTAGCGATAATTAACGAGTAGTGATTATGATGAGGAACTTTTTTTTATTATTTAATTATTACTGAAAAAACAATGAATTAGTGTAGAGTACAATGATCATCATTATAATCATTCATATACTTTTTATCATACACATATACACACTCGCTTGTAAATATATTTTTTGTATACCACCAAACAGTCACATACACATTATATAAGGAAAAAAAAGAAATTATATATTTTTCTTTTTCATAAAAAATAAAATTCAAATCAGCAGTCATATAATTTTTTATATAACTAGTAAATAAATTATAATGTTTAATTATTAGTTTTACTTCCAACAAATCTAACTAACTAACTCCCAACATTATCATTTTTTAGACTAGATTTGCCTGCACGCATCATTTCATCGACTAACAGGAAATTACTCGAAATTACCGAGCTATTTTTCAATAATAGTGTCAATAAAACAAATTGCTATTTATAAAACAAACAAACAAAATTAAATAGACATACCAAGAATGCAGCATATGTCGCACCACTCGGTAATTATCCCAAATTCCTTCGAGCACTGGATCAAGTGTTTCCCCTGTTTTAAGGTCCACCCCGACTACGTGGCCATCTGCATATTCTTCCTGGAACATTTTTATAGAAAAACGTAAAGCATTAGAAAAAAATAATTAATTAATTTTAATGCATTTAAAAAATACCTGTAACGCAACAATCGTGTCCTGCGCATCAAATCCTCCATTTTGCGCAAGCACTTTGGGAATAACTAACATTGCATCTGCAAATGCTTGTATTCCCATCTTAGCACGACCTTTAACCGAATCTTTATATTTTGTCAGGTGGGCTGCGAGTGCTACTTGGAATGCACCTGCACCAGGGACAACAGTTTCGTCTTCTATGGCGTTCTTTACAGCGCGAAGACCGTCACGTACAGCATCGTTGATTTGTGAAATTGTGTGAGCATTTGGTCCTTATTTTTTGTGTTTATTAATAATTATTATCCGTAAATTATGAAAGAAGAATAATAGTTTATAAAAAAATACCTTTAATTAATATAGTTACAGATTTTGGGTTCTTGACATCTTCAACAAACGTATATTTCTCTTCACCCAAAGTATGTTCGTATATGAGACCAGCGTGACCTAATACTTCGGGCGTTAAATCATCAATAGAATTTTGAGCGACTCCACCACACACAAGTTGCAATCTAAATAATATTACATTCAAAAATATTATAATTATACACAAAGAAATAAAATGAATAAAAAATAAATTAATTCAAAACTGCACCTTTCCATATTTCTTCTTTTAGCGCGTCGTAAAGCCAAAATATTATTTTTGCAAAGAATATCCAACGACAAAGGATCTATTCCTTTCTGATTAATCACCACGAATCCCTTTTTCGAGTCTCCAACTACTTTATTCTTCAAGTCAACGATTTTTCGCACTTTTTCATCGGTGAATTTTCGCTCGGATTGTACAAGTTTTTCTCGTTGCTCTGCCGATGAGTAAAAGAAGCCCGAGTTGATTTCACTGTCAGAAATGAAATAAATTCAAGTTAGCATGATTATTATTCTAATTAAACTATTTACTGTATATATTATTTACCTCTTTTCATATTCCAACGACACATTCAGCGTCAAAATATATGCGTCCTCAACACGTTTCGGCATATCAGGATGACGTGCACCATGATCTAATACAAGTCCACGAATCAGTCGTGAATCAGTCGAGATCTTGTGTTGCATTTTCATAATTTCCACCATGTGTAAATCGATCGGCTCGTCATCATGTTTAATCGCCAAAACTGCATCGACGACTGCTTCGGTTAGTGCATCGGCTAGCGTGGTGTGTACTTTGGTACGTAGTGAAGTTCGTGCCACATTTGTTAAGAGTTCTCGATCGATTGATCGTTGAACTTTGAATTTGTCGAGAAACTTTTTTATTTTTTTTTGTTATTCGTGTTAATAAATATAATGAAAAACTTGGCTTCTCTATTCGATCATAAAAAATATACCTCTAATGCCTCTTTTCTTGCCAAATCAAAACCTTCTGTAATAATTCTCGGATGCAGCCCTTCTGATATATATCGTTCAGCTTGTTTCATCAATTCTCCAACTAATAATACAATAGATGTTGTTCCATCTCCCGTGATTTCATCTTGGGCAGTGGCTGCTCGTGCTATCATTACAGCCGTTGGATTTTGAATTTGCTTAATTTTTTATGTTTGACCGTGATTTAGGTTCAATAAGATTGAAAAATTGAAAAACGTATATAGAAATATAGATATTTCGCGTACCATTTCACTTAAGAGCACTTTACCATCTTTCGTTAGCTTTATGGTCCCTGCTCCATCAACTAACCTATATATTATTTAGCATTCATTTAGATATTCAGCACCAGAATTATAAAGAGAATTGACTCATTATCCAAAAAACAATTAAACAAAATAAATAAAGCAAAAATACAATGTGTTCCATCCAATTGAAATCGTAAAGATTCGAATTTTATAAAAATAAAAAGGAAATGAAATCATTTTTTATTTTTTATTAAATATTATAATTATACATATAATACAGGAAAAATACTGAATTAGATAGTTTTACGATTGATCGATTGATCAATGGAATTTTTGAAATAATAATCTTTTGGAAAAGAATAAACAAAAATCAAAGAACAACACGTATTCTTTCAAAACTTGTTTGCTATCTAAGGCATATCAAAAAACTCACATTTTGATGGTGCCTCTCGGCCCAAGGTTCGATTTCAACACATCCTGCAAACCAACAGCCGCAGTGATGTTGAGCTGAAGTGCTTGACCACGCCTTGCTACTTCAGACTTTGGATTTATTAGTTGAACTGCAGCGGAAGACCTAGAACAAAAAAGCGAAGAATTAATTAGTATACATTAAATAAATAGCAGTATCCCTTTTTTACATTCTAAAAGTCCTGTTGAGCAAATTCTCACATTTGTTATTCGTGTACTTTATTATAAGTAATAGTAAAGGTGGAAAAAGAATTATGTTGAACTAAAAGTACTCGATCGCCAAATCTGGGTAAAGAATCACGTGAAATAAATAATTTTATTATAATTTAACAAAAATGTTGTACATAAATTTATATATTATATTATCAAAAATATTTAGTGGATAAATTACTGGGTTTTCATTATTATTATATGTTTAAGGATCTTTTATTCCTCATCAAATTCAAACTCTCTTCTACTTTGCAATGATTGTAAATCATCGACAAATGCCTGTTTGGCAATCGCGAATCTTCCCGAAGGTGGCCGAGAAATTTTATCTGAACGAGGAATATTTTTCTGAGGACTAATAACTGGGTTTGGAATAAAAGTAGCTTCTGGATTTTGGGTTATTTGATGATTTTCAAGATCAGAAGAGTCTTGAATTTTGTCAAGTGATCCCGTGGTTACATGAAGACGCCTATTACGACGGACGCCAGAATTCGCTAATGGCCGGGAATTTCGACGGAGAGAATTAGGTGATGTCGGAGGATCATTGGCTATTGGATTTGGGCGAGGTCCAATAGGACGAATTGTTGATACCGAACTGTTGACAGTAATGTGATTTTGACTTAAGACATTAGATCTGTTATGTTTTTCATTAGCATAATATTCAGTAGGACTCTCGCTAAATGACTGACTATAATTAGAATCCGAGGGAGACAGTATCGAATAAGATTCTGGCTCTCCGATTTCTTGTTCATTCATCACGATCGATTGTTGTCTTTCTTGGGTAGCTTTTATCACTGGAGTTATTTGTTCATTTATCGCGATCGGTTGTTGTCTTTCTTGCGTAGCTGCTATCAGAGGAGATACTTGTTCATTCATTGCGATCGATTCTTGTCTTTCTTGCGTAGATTCTATCAGAGGAACTATTTGTTCGTTCATCGCTATCGATTGTTGTCTTATTGGTTTGTCTATTTTTGAATCTACAGGGGTACTAATGGTCAATGTTAATGGAGTTTCGTCCACAATTAAATCAGGGTTATGAGATAATATTATCATCTCTGGTTCATCCTTCTTTTTCAGAGTTGCTTCTGTTGTATTTGGAGGCACATTTTCGGTCTCTTTGACGGGTGAATCTTCATCATTCACAGGACTAATGATTGTTGTTTCTTTTGAAATCTGCTGTTCCTCAACTATTATACTATTCCGAATAGAGGTTTGTGAAAAGCTTTCTCTAGTTCTACTATAACGATTCGAACGTTCCACAGCTTTGATGGATTGTGTAGAATCTCGATTTATTGACCCACGCCTCACAACCTCAGCCACGATACTAGAAGTAGTATCACAAGGTTCATTTTGCTTGAAGATGGTATTGTAATGTAATATGAGGTCCTTCAGCAATCGTTGTGGGTGTCGGTCTGAAAGAGTCAATGCAGTATCATATTGTGGACGCAAAAGAATCGGACCATATATCTGAGAAAACACAGTTGGGAATGGATCATCCGCGCCCAAATTCGCGAGTAAGCTGAGTATAAAGAAATATATTTATTAATTCTTAGTAACGAAAAGAAGATGGAAAAAGAGGGAAATAAACCTATTTATATAAGATATAAAAACATCTAGAGTATATAGATTTCCTTCAGGTAAGGAGGTTACTATTAGATTTCCTATTGACGCGCGACGCGTTGCTTCTTCATGCTCTTCTAAATCTTTGGTATGTGCAATTATTAAATATAATGTTTTGTTTGTTCAATTTATTTATATTTTAGTTAACTGTCAAAAATTTTGGTTTTGTAAAATTTAGATCAGAGAAATCACTACTTACTCGTCGAGTATAATAATTTAACAGCATCATAAAGCTCAAACGTAAGCAAGCATTCCGGTAGTTCCATAAAGTATAGCTTCAAAACACCTATTACAGTTGGAAGATCATGTTCGCGCAATTTCTTGAGTTTTATTTTTCCACCTATATATGTAAATCGTGAATTCATTAATAAAATAGATTAATAATAGAATATATAAAATTCATGAATTTACCATCATTGATCTCTTCGCGAAGACCATGTATTATGGAGAGCGGCATGTACGATAACCACAGGGACCTCTTGTCTTTGGCAATGATTGAGACCTGATTAATTATAGTCGGATGTAACGACAGATGCATTAAATTCCATGAGAGATAATTCTTTACCAGAGTCACTCCAACCTGCTGTCCCTGTTTATTTATTACCAATGTAATTTTTTTAGCAAGTATACTAAAGTCATCTATAACTAAGCAGACTTCAAAAATCTAACCTTTATTAATGCAACTTAAACATTTTGTGACGATTTGAGGTATAAATTTCAAATCATGTTTCGCTTTTTCCTCAAGTGGAACTCCAAAAGTTTGATCTATCCAATTATAAAGAGTTATATCAGTAAAAATGTAATCATCAAAAAAAATTAAATGAACGAATGATATGTAATACCATTTGCGCTTCCATTATATGCGTTATTATAAATAATAACACGAGGACAAAATGGTCCGGTTCGATAACGTTCAATCATGAACTGAAGATCAGTTTCTGGTCGGAGCGCTTCTTGATAAATAACTAATCGTTCAGACATGGATTGTATCGTAACAATTGCACTATTGAAGGTGCCACTATAATTTAAAAAAGCTACCATAGGAATAATACTATCAATGAAAACTGACTAATAATGTGATGATGACGATGATGATGATGAATGAGTGAAATTGATAATTATATGTCTTACAAGTTTTTATAGAATTTAATCTCTCAACTTCAGTACGTTCCAAGAAATTCATATGATCTATCTAAATATAATATATGTATGTTTCATAGAATTTAAATGCATTATTTTTCGAGTTAAATAAGAAATATGGATGCCGACCATAGACTCTTCAAGAACAAGACGAGTCTTATCCAGTTTTCTAACGGCGTGTCTATAAGAATCATCAGCTTCTTGTGCCTCTTTACGCGCACGTTTTTCCGGGGGTTCCTCTTCATTAAAATTAACCAGTCTTCCCCAATTCACTGAAGATTCTTCTGAATGTCGAAGATGAAATGCTTTTTTTTGCCATTGGTAATAATGTGATGAACTCGGGGTAAATGCATTTCCAATTGCACCAATCAGTCGTAAAAAACCTTGATCAGCCAATTCTTGGCCGAAATTTTCTGCTTCACGCCAAGTGCGCGTTCCAGGATTATTATTTAACAGCCAATTAGCAATATCCTCACCCGTATAAAGCTCGTTATATAGACCAAGTATCGGAATTTTTAATTCACGAGATTGAAGATCAGCTCGCATCCGAGCAAAGAACATCATTAATTCCTCCTCGGTGAATGTTTGTCCACAGATGATCACTATCATTACCGGATACGAATTGTAATTTTTTATTCTCCCTTTTTCTTCTGCTGCACGTAATCTGGCTTCACGATCAGCCACCAATTCAGCTTGATCGGCAGTCTCGCATTTCGCCATGTAACTAATTCGAGACTTCTGTACCTCGTTTGTCATACGACCATACGCTCTAAGATTATTGGTGATTTTTTCTTTACTAGCACGTAAACGCATACCGTGTTCTTCAGTATGTTTCAACATGGGTTGAAGCACCATTTCTGCCATGTTATTGGCTAATTCCATATGCGCTTCCCCCAAAACTTTACATTCTTGTTTTAATGATTCAAAAGTACGTTTTAATGAAGCGCCATCATCAAGCATGAAGCCGTCAGATCTATAATTACTGTTTGCTAGCTCTACAAGTTTTTGGCCATATGTTTCTTCAATTGCGATTCTTTCCTAATAACATAATATATCGTAAATTTAAACGAATTGAGAATAAATGTAAATTGAAATTAATCGAACCTTAAAAAATGCCACAATTTCTTCATTCTCTATTCTGCCTTGCTCTAATTTATCATACAGCACTTTAATGCCAGGAGCATAGTTAGGACTAGTCCAAAAAGAATTTTCGAATTTCAAGACAGTCATTTATATGGGCGAGACTTTTAGCAGTAACAATTGCATAAAAAATGAATTTTGTAAAAAATGCTCAATTATAATCTGTGATCACATGCACATGACAAACCCACACTAAAGTCAGTTAGTGCAACCCGGATCGAGTCAATCCAAATATAATCCGATTCGATTTGATCCGGACAGACAGTTGGGTTTTATGTCAAAAGCACCATTTACTAATTTCCCCTCCAAGTTCTGATTGGATACAAGTAATTTACATTGCTGAGCTGAGCACATCGGGTCTTCTAAATCAACCAATAAAGGAAATAAAATAATAATAAATAAAGGAGTTGGCTAAAGCCTGGTGGACATGTGACTCAGTTTCTCTAAGGTTAAGGGTTAGAATTAGAGAACAAGCTTATATATAAAATCGCCTTCCTAACATTTTTAATTAGTATTCCAAGACAGGTTTAAGCATCGGGTTTCTTGTAATGTTCACATTTCTAGCATTTTTCATATCTTGTGTCGGATTTGTTTTGCCGGGTTGATCAAAAATTTGTGCATTCTTATTGGTGATTGACAA